GGGGTGTCCCGGGGGTGTCCCGGGGGTGTCACAGGGGTGTCCCGGGGGTGTCACAGGGGTGTCCCGGGGGTCTCTCCGCTGTCCCCCCCTCCCGCGGGGCTCTGACGTGTGGCGCGCCCCCTCCAGCGGCCGCGCCGGGAACTGCACCGAGCGCCCCCCCCGTGGGGTCCCGGCCCCGACCCCACTCCGGGCGCGGCTCCCCCCGACGGGGGGTGGTCCCAAGGGGTCCTCCCGCCGCCACTCCCACCCTCCCACCCGCCGCAGCTGCTGCCGCTGCCCTTCAAAGCCCGCCCGGCCGCCGCCGCCGCCGCCGCGGCTGCTGCTGAGCTGGCGGGGCCGGCGGAGGGGGAGGCGACCCGCGGGTGGCCGTGGGGAGGGGCGGGGAGACGCGGCGGGAAGGGGGTGTTGTGAGACTTGACGGAGGAAACCCCAAACCCGCGCGCCAGGAGCGCGGCGGGGACGGGCGGCGGCTCCGCCAAGGCGGCGACAGCGGGTCGGGATCGCCACGATCCCAGTCTGGGTTATCCCCCCCGTTCCCAGCCCGGGTGATCGCCACGATCCCAGTCTGGATTACGCGACGTTCGCGACCAGCACCAAAAAAAAAAAAAATTAATAAAGAAAAAAAAAATAAAGAAAGCCACCAAACCCAAAAATCCCCGAGCCAGCCCGAAAGCACAGCCACGCCTCCACGCGGCATCCTCGCCACCGGCTCCGCGGGGCAGCGCCGGCGACCCGATGATGCCCGTGCGGTTGTTCCCGGCTATTCCCGGCCGGGCTGTGGCGGAGGAGGGGTGGGAGGGGTGCCCCCGAACTGGCATCCCGGTCCCCGCCGAGGGGGCAGGAGGCGGCGGGGACGCCCACCCGGCGGTGGCTGTCGCGGGGGTCCCCGGAGCAAAAACCCCCCCTCGGGGGGCTGCCGGGTGAAGTGCGCGGCTGCGGTGGCGGACACGCGGCTGCGGCTCTGCGGGCACCTTGCGGGTGGGAGCGGGTGTGGGGTGAGCGATGGGCAGAGCCGGGGGTCGCGCCTGAGCATCCCCATCCCGCGGGTGGACGCGGTGCCCCGCGGTGGAGGTGGCGGTGTCCCGGGGTGGAGGTGGCGGTGTCCCGGGGTGGAGGTGGCGGTGTCCCGGGCTGGCCTTGGCGGTGTCCCGCACACCCCGCGCCGGTTCCCGGAGCCCCCGTGCCGCGGCCGCGCCCCGTGCGGGCGTGATTGGCCGGCGCCCTCCCCCGTATGCAAAGCAGGCGGGGGAATGACATTCCCCGCACTCCTCCCGCCCGCACCGACTCGCTCCCGGCCACCTCCATCCATCCCGGCCGCGGCGGGAGCCGGGCGGGACGCGGCACGCGGGATACGGGACCACGGCCCGACGCACCCCGCGGGGGAACCCCGCGCTCCCCACGCGTGAAAGACCCGCGATCTCTCTCTCCGCCGCGGGAATGAGCTTTCTCCGAGCACTCCTGCCTAACCCCGGCCGGCGACTCGTGGGCTGAATCTTCCTTCCCCCGGCAACTCTTGGGCTCATCTTCCCCCACAGCCGGCAACTTTTGGGTTGCTCTTCGCCCGCTGCTTCCCGCCTGCCTCTCCTCGTCGGGCTGCGCGGCTCCCGCGCCGCCTCCCTTTGCGGAAGGAAAGCGCTCACTCCGTCAACTGCACTGATTTTGCTGGGTTGTTGAGGTTTTTTTTTTTTTTTTTTTTTTTTTTTTTTTTTATTGTGGCTGGT